CAACGACTACAAAAAAAAAGCTACACCCACAACTACTACAAAATATCCCACCACAACTACACCGTGCACAACGACTGCAAAAAAAAGCTACAACCACCCACACCCACACCCACACCCCGCCCACACCCACACCCACACCCCACCCACCCTGAACTTTTTAGATTTAGCAAAAAAATTGAGCTACTATGTACTGAAGAGGAAAATACATGACTTTATATACTTCCAAAATGAATTTACAGTATAGCGTGGTAGTAAAGTACTACTGAAGCATCAAATAAGGCCGAGAAACATTGTTTAGTTCTCAAAAAGGGAACATGAGTGTTCCTATGTTTGGCAAAAAAAATCCTAAAAGAGAAGAAATTTGCTCCGGTTTCGAAAACTTGTCCCGAAAAAAGAGACAATTACGTTCTCTTTTTGGAAAGAAAGAGCATCAAGTACGATTGAGTCCCATTGAATTACTGCACAAAAAAGTGCGCACTTTGAAGTACTTCAAGTTTGAAGTCTTGTGTTTTCTCTCTTATTTTTTCCACATTTTCTTTGCTGTCTAGAATTATGAATCCGAATCTAAAGAGATTCGAAAACAAACCCTTGATCCTGATTTGGATGCATTACATACCTATTTGCTTTGCCTAATTAAATAATCTGATGTTTAAGGTTTAAAGCAACCAATTAATTAACGAACCGCATATTTTCTTTGAATAATGCCATCGCATCGAAAGAGCAAGCCTTTCACACTTCTATTGAACAAGTCACTTGTTTCCCAAATCCACCGTGTTCTGAAAAAAACCTATTTCCAGCTGAGTAAAAGGCATATTTTTCAAAGCTCATTGGCAATAAATACCACTACTGATCATTGGAAGACGACTACTGATCATTGGAAGACGACTACTGATCTTAGCGTCTGTAGCCCATTACCATCATCAATCGTTCCACGAATAGAAAATAAGAAATATGAAGAAGATAATCTTGAAGACTTGCTTATTATTTGGCCTGATGAAAACATAAATCACCTTGAAGAGAGTACATGCAAACGAAAAACTCGCCTACGTGAAATAGTGAATTGTTTTAAAAGGTTTGATGATTCTACCTCATGTCTTAATTTCATTAGAACGATCAAAGATGAGACAATTTTTCTGATAATCTCTGGATCATTGGAAAAGACTTTTATCAATGAGATCCATGATTTTTCACAAGTTTTCTCAGTTTACATCTATTGTTTTCATGACAATCAGCATAAACAATGGACGCACGATTACCGAAAAATTGTCGGTACATTCACAAAAGAACATGAACTAATTCAGCAAATCACACAAGATGTTTCATCATTCTTCTATAATTATCTATCGGTCAGTGTCATTCATTCGATTGATTCAAATGGAAAATCAATTCAAGACCTAACTAAAGATCGAGCAAGATTCATGTGGTCGCAACTTCTAATGGATAATCTGTTTCGTTTGCCACACACGAAATATTCAAAAGAGAACTCAATACAAGAACTTTGTCGGCAATATAAAAATAATAATTTTCAATTAGAAAAAATTAGCGAATTTGAGAAGAATTACGTTTCATCAAATGCAATTGCATGTTATACACGTGATAATTTTCTTTATCGTATTATAAACAAAGCATTACGAACACAAAATATACTGTATATATTGAAATATCGACATTTTATCATTGACTTGTACCAGAATTTGAAATTCCTGCATTCTGAATTCCTCAAAACTTCATCGGAAAAAGTTCTCACTGTCTATAGAGGGCAAAGGATGGCTGTAGATGAATTCGAAAAACTGAAAACGAATAAAAATGGTTTTATCGTAATGAATACATTTTTTTCGACTACTTATTCGTCTACAGTAGCACTTGAATTTGCTGGTAATGGATTGGATCGACCGATGTTCGAATAAGTCCTTTTTGAAATTGAAATTGATGTAAATCTGCATAAAACACTATTTACAAATGTTGATGGTTTTAGTCAATTTAAACATGAAAAAGAATTAATCTTGTCTCTGGGAGCTGTTTTTCGAATCGAATCTATAGAGCCATTAACTGATACACTTTGATTTGTCAACTTGATGTCTGCTAGCGAAACAGATACAGTGAAACTCGATTGTTTAGCTCGTTATATCAAGAAAAGTATGAGGAACTCATCAAGTTATCTTTCGTTTGGCACACTTTTGCAGGATGTTGGTGAATATGATCAAGCAGAAAGATTCTATGAATCATTGTTAAATGAACTTCCGTCAAAGCACCAAGATATTGCAGCTATTTATGCAAGTTTAGGATCAACAATTGTTAAAACACAAAAGAATCTTCAACTAGCATTTTATTATTTGAGACAATCACTCGCACTACAAATGAAAGTATTCCCAGAGAATCTTCTACTCCCTGAGACTCTAGCGAGTATTGCCGCAATTTTGGTCGAACATCAACAATATCAATTAGGACTCGATTGTTATCAACTCATTCTGACAATCTACAACAGTGTCGAACCGAAAAAACATTCTATAGTTCTCTTAAGGCATGCCCGTGTTTACAATAATATCGGATACATTTATTCTAAACTGAGAAAATTTTCTTTTGCATTGAAATGCTACAAAGTGTCCCATAAAATCGAAAAAACACTGTTGCCATCTAATCATCCAACAATCGCTACTGGATTGAATAATATTGCTGCAATTTATTTGATGAAACAGAATTTTCAATTAGCAGACAAATATTTTCAACAAGCAAACGAGATTCGTCAAACATCTCTACCATTTGAGCATCATCCGGAACTCATACAAATGTACAATAACATTGGAGTAGCTCAGTATGAACGAAAAAATTTTGATCAAGCATTAATTCTTTTCCATAAAGCTTGGGAAATTCAACTGAAATGTTTGCCGCCTGTTCATACACAAACTGCCATACTTTATAACAGCTTGGAACACACGTATCTTGGTAAAAATAACTATTACGAAGCTCTGCAAATGTATAAAAAAGCATTAGAGATTGGTCAACAATGTTGGCCATCGACTCATCCCGAAATTAGCCAAGCACATGGCAATATCGGCAATATTTGTCGACTTTTGAAAGATTATACAAGAGCATTGAACAGCTGTGAAAAAGCGCTGGAGATTGCACACAGCAGCTTACCATTAGACCATCCTGATCTAGCAGAAGCTTATAAAAATCTTGCACAAGTCTACAGTGATACTGATGATCATTCGATGTCTTTAGCTAATTTTCTCAAAGCACTTGACATTTATACCAAAAAATCACCAATGAATCCATTTCAACTAGGTGTTTTGTATGAGAAGATTGGCGTCAAATATAATGAAGTAGATCAGTATCAAGAAGCATTAAATTATTTACAAAAAACCTTGAATATATTTCAATTATTTCATGAAGATGAATCATTATTGACAATATTATTTTTTAGCCTTGGTCGCGCTTATTATCAGAACAGTGACTATGACAATGTTTTACAATACATGGAAAAATGTCTTCATTATGAGTTATTGTCCATACCGAAAGTTAGTAATAGTAGTCTTTCACAAACATATGATGCTCTGGGAGATGCCTATAAAAAAAAAGGATTATCCAAATGCACTGAGAAAACTATGAACAAGCATTGACAAGTATCCTCAACGATGATTCAATATCGTCGGCTGACAATGATCACTCGACTCTGATTCAACAATATCAAAATAGCATTGAACTGGTTAAAGCGGTATTAAGCTAACTCTAATTTAGATGCTTCTACATTAACTTACCTATTCCTCATCAGTTAATTATCTCATTTTTTTTCGAACTTTGAAATACTTAGGGCATGGATATTGGTGTGAAAAGAAAGTTTTTTGGTACATAACAAATTCCTTTTCTAATTACTTCGGTTAATGAAGCGTATCGAAAACCATAATCGATGGTTCAATTTAAACCAATCGATACGTGTTTCAATTACATTTCCTCATTCATTCTCATATGACTTGTTAGAAGCGCGTACCAGCTGTGTAATAACAAATCACAAGTGTATAAGTACTGTTAATTAAGAAAAAGAAATAAAATTCGAAGACCCTCAAAAAGATGTTTTGGATTATTACGTATGGAATATAATTACTAATAAAATGCAATGGAATAAAGTTGAAAACTATCATATATTAATTAATGACATAAAAAAAAGGAATCTGTCGTGTACCATTATATGATCTTACTTGCAGTGTCAAAAATTGGTCGCTGAGAATTTTGTCCATTTTGAAAAGCAAAGGTGCATACATATAAAAAAGTCATTTTCTTGTAAATTATAGAGCTTTTCACGCTTCATCTTGTAGTGTTGTTTTTTCTTTTAATAAAGCATATCAAGGGTGTGTGGGTATGAATGTAAGTGTTCGTTTCATTCACATCCACTCACCTACATCCCAATTCTTTTCTGTAATTTCAGCTTATATTCGTTTTGTAAAACGACAGTTTTGCATGTAGTGTATCAATTGAGCGTTTCGAAAAATGACTCTACTTTCATTGCAAACATCAGTTCTGAATTCATGAAGTTTTATTACATGCAATTTCAACAAACTATAATCGATTTTCTCATTAAATAATATTTCTCACTATACGGTTACACTGACGTGAGTCGTATCTCGGAGAATATGCAGGAACCTCTCCAGCTCTCTCCTTTCGACTTCAATCACTACTCTTCCCTTTAGATAATAAATAATGTACTAATAAAAATCCTAAAAGGATTTAGGTTCCTATTGATGCTTGATTAAACTATTGAATTTTTTTCAGGGGGTCTTAGGTTGTTCTAAAACTCGACTAGACTAGCTTTCATAAAAGAATTCACAAGTTTCGAACAAAGTCTCTTCGAGATATGAAACTTTCAAAAAATGCATGCTACATACACTATCCATGGAAAGAAGATCTACATCTTGAAAGTCTGATATGTCGAAGAGACTTTATTGAAAATTTCTCAAATTTTTTATGAAAACTAGTCTAATTCATTTCTCTATATGCACAAAGTTTCAGATCAAAATTCGAAAAAAAACGAATTTTTGTGATCGATATCTTATTCAAACCTTTGTAGGAATCCAAATCCTCATATGATTTTCATTAGAGCACTATGGAGTACCTATAGATGAAAAAAAGTCATTGAAATTGGAAGAGGGCAGTCGAAGAGATTTTCTCGTAAGAAATCGGAATTTCTAACTTGTGCAAGAACTCTCAACGAAGTTGCCATTATTCCTTGGAGAAACAAGATTTGGTCATTAGTTTCCTTACAATGCCGCTATTCATGAAAGCCAAAGTGATTCTTTTTCTGCAATAGTTTTTGTACTCGCATATTCACATTCACAAATTCTCTAATGAATATCAGTGCGAGAGCAAAATACTTCGTGAATATTATGTTTTTTTGATTTTAGCAATCATGAAACTGCGATAGAACTGAGAAGGAATTCCTATTTCTCTCAGTCCTTGGACATCTTTCAAATATTTGACGATTTTTTGTGCATTTATATTCATTGGAAAAATATGAGATGTAATGTGTATTACAATCAGAGTTTTTTTTTTCTTTCAGAATATATGCTTACAATATTTTCTGTGACTTTTGACTATTGAACTATAAGTAAATCTTGACAGAACTAAAAAAAGAAAATTTTTGGAAGGGAAAAATCTTCTTTTTCTGAAGATAGATCTGCTTCCTGTAGTCATCAAATAATTTCTGTAAATAAATAGTACTTAACGGTGATAATGATGCAAGAATCAAGAGTTTTGGTTGGTTGGCAAAAAGAAATGGTAGAGTTATCACGAAAGGTCATTTTGTGCTAAAAGGGCAAAAATTTGAAAAATCATCATTTTTCTTGCAGTAGGTTTTATAAAAACCTTTACTACTTGTCAACACTTTACAAAAAAATTTACCACTTTGTAGAGAATTACTTCTCTGTGTCTTCCAATATATTCGACGATATGTGTTGTGCCATGTTTGACACTTACTTCATTGAAGACTTTTTCTTTCAAAAAAAACATTTTGAATCTTTTCATTCTGATACATTACCAATGCATTAAAATACGCAAAAAATAGTCAAATATTTCGCCTAGAAACTTTCTACGCCATCCTTATTTTATTAATTTTGTATCAAGAATAATCTCTAAAAAAAATCAATTTATACGTCTGTATTCTATCAATATTTTCATGAGAAACAAAACAAAATACAAAAAGATAGAAGAGAAATGAATCAAGTATTATATGAATACGTTCTCAATCAAAAAGACAATATAACCAGTAATAAGCAAGAGAGAAGAAACAAGAAGAATGAGAAGGATAACCGAACACGCGACAAATAACGATGATGACACGCTCAAAAAAAAAAAGCATAGGAAAAATAAAAAAGAAAGAAAGAAAGAAAAATGATATTGATGAGTATAAAAGCGAGAAATGAAATGCATCACTGATACTCAAATAGTCATCATTAAACGTATCTATCTATATATCTATATATATATATATGCATTCTTTTTTGTTTTGTTTCATATTATATCAGATCTTCATGAATATTTCATGTAGTATGATATGAGACAACAAGTATATAAAAACAATTACTCGATGCGGTTGTCAGTCAAATGTTTATCACTCTGTTTTATTATTACTATTGCTCTATTCAATCTTTACTTTTTTTCACAACTTCATATTGAACAGGAAATTAATAAAGAAACAACTACTAAAGAATTTCTTGTACTTGATTGGACTGCTAGACATCATACATTTAAAGAACAAAATCTTATTAATTGTAAGTTTCTATTTATTTCTTTTAAGACAAAATATTTTCCAAATGTTACTAAGAAGTAGTTGTTTGAAGCGAAAGAAAAATCAATTGAATTAACTTATCGAATAAATTGATTATGATCGAATAAAACGAATAGGAAATTATTAGTGATCTTTCTTTTTTATACAATTCAGTTTCATTTACATAAAAAAACAATATCTTATTAGCATTCAATTGATTTTTTTGAATAATTTATAAAATATGGAATGAATACGGTCTCAGTTTCATATGTAGTCAAATTTTTACCAGTAACTCATTAATTCATGGTACTCTCATTCAGTAGAGTTCATGTATTTAGCCAACCACAGGAATAGCTTCTGTAAGTGCTAATTTATGACACTAGTAGTTTTATTTGGACGATGTCATTTCATGCTGAAGATGAAGAATGAGCCAAGAATTGATGCATTCGTTTTGAGTGACATAAAAATTGAATTTATTGTTAATTTGATTTTGTTCGTAGTTATGTTGTTATTTTATGTGCCTAAAGCTGAAAACCTAATTACCATGAATTATTTTTTGACAAAATGATTCATGTTGGAGAATGATATATGGTTAGGCGCTTGCAAAAGAAGATCTTTCGTTTCCAGAATCGTACCGGAATCATTATTTTTGATTCCGATTCGATATTCATCCATTCTTATTGTTGAAGTCTCATCGAGAAGAAAAGCCATAAAAGAAACTGTTTTTATCGATAAAAAGTTATTTAAAAGTAGTCACAGAGTGCTTTTAAATTATACCTATATTGGTGCATGTCAACCTCACCAATATGAGTATAATCAATCTGTGTAAGTAAACAAAATAGCAGAGAGAAAAAAAATTAGTTTTATTTTGTTTTACTTTTCTGACAAAACACCTTTTTCTAATTCATATATATATATTAGCCTTCGATCCAATGTTGTATTACTCTAAATTAGAGCCCAACGTGACTTTTGAATCGTGATCAAAGAAAATAACGATTATTCGATAATATTTCTCATATTAGGTGTAAACGAATAATTCTATTTGACCTTTTGTATTGAAGACTTTTCTTCTCTTCAAAATGATGTATAATATTCGAGGATACAACGATATATGGCAGAGAAAACTGCAAAACATTCGTCCTGTAATACCCTCGAGTTTTAGACATCGTTTTGAAGAGGAGAAAATTCTAAATACAATGGACCAGGTTAGAATTATTTTTGCACATTTAAGATGAAAACTATTATCGAATAGTCTTGTTTTATTTCGTCACAAGTCGATGGTCATGATAGGCTCTACTCCAAATAGATCACTTCTATGGAAGGGTTTCTTCTACAGAAAATACTAAACACAAAGCTTTTAGAGACTTTCATAATATTACTATATCTATGGTCTTCATTAGGTTATGTAGAAAATCGAGTGTCGATTTCAAACTTTGCATCAGTACAGTTCTTAATGAGATTAGTTCATTGGAAAAATTCTAGCATTTCGAGTATTTCCCTTCATGATTATGTAAATATATGAACAAAATTTGCTTTTACACATGAGAGAATTTCAAATATTTCATATCTCTGGTTAGAAGATACCAGAAAACTTACAACTTGTCTAATGAATTAATCTCGTTTTGAACTTTGATCATGCAAATCTTGAACTTGAAATTCAAATTTTCACGTGATCTCAGAAGGATCATAGTTTTTTCATGACTAATACTCATCAAATGAATATCGTTTTAGTCGAAAAGCGATTTGACACCAAGAGGAGAGGTTTCCTTTGTCAGTCAAAAATCATTGTAGAGAACTTGAAGATATCTTTTTTTAGGCAAAAGAAAATCATATTTACACGTTATAGGTACTAAAAGACTAGAGTTTTAGTTTCTTTTGAAAACTGTATCTTTGGAAATTTAATAATAATTTGTATTCTTTTATATTCTTGTTGAAAACAATCTTCTGTACTCCGATGACTACTATTCGTATTATTTCTAGTGTTTAAGTTAATGAAAATATATTGAAAACAAATCTTGTTGGATAAATTTTGTATTTGCTGCATGTCGTAAATTTTTTTTCGAAGTTTTTCAATAAAAATGACGCTGGACTTATAGTATATTTTCTCAAATGAATAATATATTCATGTCGAATTCAAATATTTTTTCCAGGTAATTTTTCTCATATTAATCGCGATTATTGTAAATCAACATTTAATTCCATAAAAAATAAAACTCTTCGTTTACATCTAATTGAACGATGTACTCTTCTATCACGACTTATTGTTCGTTGGACATATGATCAATCATATTTACAACAAGCTGATCTTATTGCATATCATTCTATGCATATGCCACTATATGATTTACCAGTATTAGTACGTAATGATCATCAACAACAATTTTCTATGGTTTATGTACTTGAAAGTGAAGTTCATTCAAAAAATGGTGAACATTGGCATAAAATTGATTTTCCAATGTGGTATAATCTCGAACGTTCATATCCAGAACCAGCTACTTATTTTAATCTTGAAACATATCTTGATCAATTATTTGCACCTGTAAAAATACCTTTTTCAAGCAAAATAACATCTGCCCCAATCGTTTGGGTTATATCAAATTGGTAAGTTAAATAAATATTATTATTATTATTATTACTGTTATGAAAATTATCGATTTAGTCGTGCTTATAATGCTCGTCAAACATTCATTCATGAATTAATGTCTCATATTCGTATTGATTCATATGGTCAATGTCTTAATAATATCAAATCAAATGATATAAGAGCACGTCAACAATCAAATTCTAATTTATACTCATCATATAAATTTGTTATTGCTATTGAAAATTCAAATTGTGAAGATTATGTTACAGAAAAATTAATTGATGTATTATCATCAGCATCAATACCAATTATTGCTAGTCGTAATGGAACACCAGATTATACACGTTTTGCACCTAAATATTCCTATATTAATATATATGATTATAAATCAATAAAAGATTTAGCTAATTATTTAAATTATTTATCAACAAATGAAACTGCTTATAATGAATATCTTTGGTTTAGAAAATTACCAATTAATAAATATACGGTAATATTATAAGTAGATAAGACGAAGAAAACAAAAAGTGAAATTTGAAGTATTTATGAGAATAAAATATTCGAGATGTCATAGATTGGTTACACGATTATGAGTCAAGACTATTTGTATTATATAGATTCTAATGAATTTTGAATACCTTCGAAAGAGTTAATTTTCTTTTCTTTTATTGCTACGGAGATCCTAGATTTTTACGACGACAGTTCTTAATAAGAATAGTTTAAGTCTTTTGATGTGCTCCTATCTTGAAATAAGAATATTGAATCTACCACTTTAAGTTATTAATGTAAAAGAAAAGCTTTTATCATAGTCGTATCTTACCACAGGAGCACATAAAAAGATTTGAAACTTTCACAATTAATTATTTTCATTGAGGCTTATCGCTTTATGCAAAGTTTTATATTAAAATTCAAAATCAAATTTTTCTGATGTTCCGGAGAAAGATCACATTATTCATGGAAAAAAGGTGTTAGCGCAATCCTTATAGAATTAAAATGCAAAAATACAATATTGCTAATGCTGCTAATCATAGAAGATTGCTTTAATCTATTTATTTCGAAACACATTTCTTCGTTTTTTTTTTACTTAATCTTCCCGAAATGCAACAAGTAAATCATTCATATATCAATAACGTCGGTCATAAATCTCAGGGTTCACATTGGGCAGATGATTTCAACTCATAAGAGACTAATTAGTTGAAAGATTTATCTCGTTAAATCGGTTATTCTCATCGCGATGAATTTAACTTAAACTTTAATCATAGGTCTCGATGTGGACGAAGACTGGAATGGTCTGCCCCCTCCTCCCACTTTTTACGTTGTGTCTGCAAAAAATGGTGACCTGCTGTAAAAAAAAACCTGTCTGCAATACTTGAGAAGGCAGATTTTCGCAATCACTTTCTGCTAGACGAACTATCTCTCAATTTCTCTGTCCTATCTGCAATTATAAAAAAATTTCTACATGTACGAGTATTCTGTGAAGGGCATGTGTTAATCGCCAAAAGTATTTGTTAAACTTATCATGCATTACAAGTATATCGATTTTAGACTACTTCGACATTGTCAGAATGTATCATTCCTTGAATTTATTATTAGACTTATAAGAATCCAAGATATTCTGTTTGATTTTCATTTAATTGTTTCAATATATGTAGAATACTAATGAACAGTCGTATGATTCGAATTACTAAATAGAATTTAATATTAGATGAATTAGATGTAAAAAGAATTATTTGAAATTTATTTTAGTCATCTAGTGCTATCAAACGAACATTAGCTGAAAAACTTCATTTGGCAGATGAAATTCTCGGTGCAGATGCGCCAATGCGTAAATGGTTATTAAGTAAAGAAACTAGTGTTAATAAATATTGTAAATTAGCACAATTTATTTATACAAACCATTGGGAACCGATATACAAACGAAATAAAATTAATCGTCCAGAACCTAATGAAGTTTGTTTACCTCAAAATGATCTAGCTTCTTATTTTGTATTGACTCCTATATAATGTTATTAAACAATTGTTGACGTCCTAGTGATTTAAGTTATTATTTTTTATGTTCATTTTTTTTAAAAATAAATCTCTATTCGCTATTCATGCAACATTAGTGTAGATTTGGTTGAAAACAAAGAACTTTCTGTATAATCTTTGTAAGATTAAAATGTAAAATACAATTACATTGGCATAATATAACAAAGATCTAATTTTAAGGCAAAGTTAAAATATTTTAGAAGACTTCATCAGTACAACAGCAAAGAGTTCAGAAAAATTATTTGTTAGATCAGTGTTGTGTTCGTAGGACAGATAAACAAGTGTTCGAATTTCTCAAAAGATTATGTACGTCACAAGTTTTTATTAATATACTTTACTTGTATAGAAGTAGAAGAAGACACTTCACCTTTTGACTACTGATGCCGGTGTAAAGTATTACAAAATCAGTTTCGTTAAGTCAGTTATTTTTTTCTCCAGTTGATAAGCTTCCCAAACGCTCAGTCCATCTCATTCATAGTCAGCAATTTACAGCTTTGAACAGACGATCAAACTGACGGACAGTTCTTCTCTTGAAGGATAAATAAATGATATAAATATACTAACGAACAAGTGGCCCAAAACGATAGGTATAAATATCTTGCTCAAGATTAGCCTATAACTACGCGGATGGTACCGATATTCACACTGACAAGAGAAGTCCTACAATTGATAAATCGCTTTTGCATCGAGTCCTATATGCATTATAAAGATCCAAATGAGCTATAAATACCTTGCAAAGAGTGTGTGTCCTTAGCATATTGCTCCAGAGATACTATTATTGCATGAAAATAGTTTTTTTGTCAATGTTTCAGATTTTGGCACTATTCCCACTCTAATATATAATAGTGTGTCTTTTACATCGCTTATATAAATCGCAGATTTAATGTTCTTATTTCAAAAAAGAAGCAAATCAAAAGGTCCGAAACTCCCACGACAAATTACTCTCGTTAAAGCCTGTCTCTATGCAAAGGTTGAAGGCGAAGATCGACAATCAATTTTTTTGCTATTATTCAAATGAACTACGGCACACAATGGGCAATTTCTATAGAATACATGGGGACATGGCTTATTTTCTATCAAAAAAAAATGTATTTTTTCATAGAAATATTAATTTCCAGTAGTCAACAAAAACCGTGATGGGAAAAAAAGTGAAATACCGAAAACAAGACTTCCGATGTAAGATGCATGAGTAGATCCTTACGCTAAACTTGGAGGCAAAATTTTTTATTTTAAAAATTAACAAATGACTCATTATTTGATGCATTTTTTTGTAATGATTCCATATATGCCCTGGATTTTTCCCTTGAAGCGCTTCCGAGACAAAATAACACGGAAAAGCTTTAAAAATCAAGATTTTTCTTATTAGAAAACCTGCTTCTCAGTCCAGAAGAATCTACGAATCTTTCTGCTAACCAAATGGACATTGTTCAAATCGCAAAAAATATCACTTTTCATTTTTTTTTACCAAATGTCCGCGTTGTTGTCCACTATAAATGTTTCATTATGTTGCATGATTCAGACATCTTTATGTATAAAAACTAAACAGATCATTACGTGCCTACTAAGTTGATCAATTCATGTAGATTTATTTTAGCAACAGTTAAATTTTATTAAATTCTGATAAATCATTCTTGGATGGATTAGAATTTTCATCAATTGAGCATGTACATGATGGAGTTGATGGAACAGTATGAATACTTTGCTGAAGATCGATAAAAATTTGTTTATTAGTTTTTAAATTGTTATTAGAAAGATTATTTTTGCTAAATAAAATATCTTTATTATTTGTTAAGTTGATATCAGTAGAATGTTGAGACTGAATTGAATTATCTATTTGTTTCAAGTTATCTGTAGTTACAAATAAAATATTAGATAAGGTTTGATTGATCTATGAAAAAAAAATAGAAATTCTAATATGTTATTTTTATGTTAACATAGATATTTATTCTTCTTTTGATATGATATATTTCTTATTGATGAAGAATCAATTATTTCTACCTTATTTGGATCATATTTATTTAATATTGATATTGTTCCATCTAAACGTTTATTAGACATTTGTTCAAAAGAGTTATTTATCTAAAAATTTAGTAAAAAAATTGAATAGATGAAAATAGAAATTACTCTATTGTGTTGTGATGATGATTTACAAATATCATAATTAGATAATATCGATGAATTCATTTTAAAACGTTCTTGTATTGTTATAAGTACTTGTCGACAATTATCATCTTTTCTTTGTTTTGAAAGTTTAACATTTCGTTTACAATAATATAAAAAAATTAATAAAACTATAACTAAAAAAATAAAAATCAATTCAAATCGCCAAATCTTTATTAGAGTATTGATAGACATTATTATTTATCATGGTATTCGATAAATAAAACAAGAAAAAACTAATAATTACCGCCAAATACAAACTAAAGAATAATGACAGATAAATTGAGAAATTTTTCAAATAATGATTAGCATGTACAGTAGTGAATCCAAGTCTTCGGTCCAGCCGATCTTGAGTACTATATGTGCTAGAGATCGGAAAGTTTGTGTACACGTACTTCACCAATCATGTAGGCCAATCCTAGAAAAAGACTACCTACAAAATTTTTCATCGTTTCTTACTTAAAATATGACCAATTGTTGATATTTTTACATGTAGCTAGGATCCCATCTATAGTCTTTTTTCACTCAAAAGATAATTTCTTTTGCTTGAACACTGATATTACGGGATCATTAGGTCTAACAAGATTATCATCTATGTTTCATTTCTCTTTAGTACAAGATTCGCTTCTCAAGAAGTTTGAACTCGTTTTGTTGAACTGTCATTGAATTATTGACCTTTGAAGACAGTAGATGGCTTCTTTTCACAACAGCAATCACAGTCCTTGAAAGGATTGGTGAACTTCAATGAAATGATTAATGTAGATAACTAGAACATAGCATTATATATTGAGGAGTTGACTGAGAGCGCATACAGTGATTGAGGTAAAGCGGAGACAGAAAATTTTATCTACCACTGTAATTTCTAACAGGAAGCATTGCTGATTCAATTTTTCTTTTTTTCGTACTCTGGACGTCACTTAAGAAAACTTTCCTCTCTTTCCATTTACTAAAAAGCATGATACAGAAGCATGCGGGAGTCAGGCATGTCTAGATGCGGTTTTTCTGCGCTCTATCCACACCTCGCACATCTGTTTTCTTAATGAAATGAGTTTCAGAACTTTAAACGAGTGAAATTTTATCAGTTATGTATGAGAAACAATCATGATTTCAGGTTAGTTCATGCATCTATGATACGTATTTCTGAGCTTTTTCTGGATTTTCACGATGTTTTCGGGATTTCTGTGATTTTCCAGGGATTCCCACGATATTTTTGCGATTCTGCAATATTCCCGCGACTTCAAAAAGTCCTATTGCAGTGCCATGGATTTGGAGTTCTGTGAGTGATTCGATTCCCCCTTGTTTCTCATCGATTAGCGACATATTGTTTCGTTGTAATACGCTCTTATCGATTAGTGGTAATAACCCATCTAATAATTGTCTTGGCAGAAAATCTTCTAGCTCGCTGGTGTGTATTTGTATTCTTCTTCAAGAAATGCCATCTTTTATTTTCTATGATAAATAGAAGACGAAAAATTATTGCAAACTAAATGAGCGCATTAGAAATAATCTTGTGAATAACCGCGCTAATAACATCAAAAGAAATCGTAGTGATATTGAGTACAGGAGTCTTGCAAACGATACTGAATACACGAAGATTTTTATATTCACAAGCATGGTTAATCAAATGCCTAACACCTCACTACAGAGATTCAATAATATGAACCATTAAGGATGAATAATTTGCGCATTTTTAGGCAACTTCAGTAGTGGTTCAATTTTTCAAATTTTTTCCTATCAAATGAATGTATGAAAAGTGTGAATTCAATAAAAATGATTCTTAAATTTCTATTTCAAATGATGAATCTTTCAGATCGCTAGCTACTTCCTTTACTAAGATATTAAGGACACATTCACACTCATCTTATTTCGAAACGCATCTTAATTTGAGCAATATAATCTTGAATTAGCTTCTGAATATTAATATTGGGGTTGCTTGTTTCGGAATAACACCAATAATATATATCAGCTGCTTTGTGATAAAATGTTAGAGCCAATTTCAATTTTTTATCGTCTTGATAAATTCTACCAACTTCATCGTATGCAAAGCCCAGTTAAAAATCGTTTGTTATTGGGAGCTTTTTCCACATCAATAGTACTGTATATTGACAAGCGGGTGTGGATGTGAGTGTAGCATTGACCCACACCCACACCCACCCTTCACAGACGCATTCCAACCATTCAGATTTCGAAGAATGCTCTAGAATATTCTAGAGTTTTCTAGAAGAGTTAACCTCATGTCATTAAGTCCATTCAGCTCCTTTTTCCTCAATTGTTAATGTCTGCGACGTAAGCGGATAGGAGACTCTAAGGTTTGTAATAGGAGTGAGCAGACTAATGTTTGTAAAGCGGGGCTGTTGTGAAGCATGTGCCATAGGGAAATAGGAAGCTGCAGAACTTGAACTTAAAACCTACACTCACTAGTTTCTTCGAAAATATATGCGAGTTACACAATCATTGATTACAAGAGTTTTGCCACAATGTTACAACTCTGGGTGTGCCATGTGGATGAGTCTGGGTTTTCTTCATACCTACACTCAGATCCGTAGTCACACCCACACCCAGACTCACTATTTTGTGAAACACGATCTGAAAGGAGTGTTTAGGGGCAGAAATTTGCACCCGCCCCCCCCCCCCCCCCCCGCGCGCCCCCCCCCGGCAGACGCAGACCACCACGAAACCCAGNCCAATGTTTCCCATGTTCCCTACAAAGCTATTCATTTATTTCTATTTCAATGATAGTAATATTCACTGAATTTACAATCTGTTATGTCTTATATTTTAGAAAATATCGAAAAGTTTGATTTCAGAACTTCGAAATATGACTAAGGTAAGTTGAGTATCATACTTCAGTTGTACTTCATTTCTAATTCGAATCATTGATTTCGCGATTTTCCTCCCTTGTATAATACTAACATGTTAAGTATATTAAATGGTTTGCTTTCAACACTCTAAATTTGAGAAATCTTATTAAATCCGAGTACCATATTTGCATGTATTTGATTGGACACGTATACATTATGTAAAGAATAGAATTTTTATTACGGATTAAGACAACATAGAATTGAAGACTATCACAAACGAACTAGTACGACAAAGCTGGTTTTGATCATTATAATGTGCGAGATCTAATCGGTAGTCCTGATCGAAGTGCCGACATAAAGATAAGAGTAGATTTTATCCTATAGACACACTTTGCTGAATTTTTTACGACGAATTCATCAGCTGTCACAATCAAGAATTAATGCTTAATTGATACGCTCGCTATATGAAATTGCCTTTTGAAATAAAAACCCTCTGAGTCTCTTTTCGAAGCGACATGGCCATTAAATGCGATAGTCTATGTAGCGGCTTTGTAGCTTCACCTCATTATCCTTGGCGCTAAAAAAGTCTCTTTGTTTGCCAATTGAAGCTCTTGCTAGAGTTTGGTTTTATCAAATATCAACATAATAACTACATTAAGATGACAAGCATATCACTGAACTATGGATTCTTCAAGATTTTCAACAATTAATTAAGAGTTTCACATGTTCAAGGGAAGAAAACAAGGATCCAGAAATGGTGAATTCTATATACTCCGTTGAATTCCACGATTCTTCAACCTACTCGATGAGAATTATCACTCTAACTCTTGAATTGTACAATTAACTGCACTGATTCACTCGTTTTACGTTGTGGTTAAACGATTTCTAGCTTTACTTTACCCATTGATTGTATACTCTACTGAAAACACTCGCATCCACAAAACTGAAATATTCACTTCAATACTCAAACAACGAAACATATGTCTAGACGTGAGAAAGTTCATGGACTTTGTTTCTTACTACCTGAACGATCCAACTCACTAATGTAGATATCGTAGATTATTCTAGTAATCCTATAGGTATTCTACGTAGTATTCTGACATCTATGTAGTTCATACTCAAGATATTGGTATTATGAAATATATGATCTTTGCCGTTCCTTTATCATAGTGTTGTATTGATGCCCATCAAGTATTTTCTTTCCTCTCATTTTTGGTCTCAGTTTTAGATAAGAACTGTTTCAAGTATTCAATCTTTTTGAGTCGGGATTATGTGCATTATGCAGACTTTTATGAATATGTATTTAGCAAGAGCATAAAATTCTCACTGCAATTGACTACTTTTGATTATCTTCTGCGATCTGTAAGTGAAAGAAAATTGAGCATATACATCCTAGTTTGATAATGTAGTGATGCTAAAGTTTGAAGCAAAAAATGACTCTGTTGCTATTAAAGTAATCAGATCGCTGACCTAATATCTTGAATTTGGTAGAAGAGGATGTTTTAAAGTTCATCTAATTAGTGAATTTTATCAGTGTCTCATAGACGAATGTAAACTGAACAATGAAAGGAAAGAGATATTCTTGCAAAAAACAAGAACGCTTTTTGAACTCTATTCTTTATTATTTTGTTGTGAGAAAATGAAAAATTCTTCAAAAAAAGTGTCCAGATCTATTGACATTGAATTCTCCAATGTTATGTCTATGATCATTACTCTGACATTCGTATATCATAAATATGCCTAATGACATATTCTCCTTATCGTCACTTAGATTTCTCTCTAATGAACACAATATTAATTCGATTTTTTCTCATCCATGTTTCTTTTCAACGCGTAAATTTGATTATATTTTGTTTACAATGTTCAAACTTTTAATCGATGTGATTACTTAAGTTGAAAGGAATGAAGAGTTTTGCATTTTATTACTGAATGGACGAAAAAAAAAAACTATGACATCTTGTTCGATGAAAGCAATTGAAACATTCTCACTTCTTAATTTTGTTAACTTTCGCAATGTAAAAAATTTCTATAATATCTGTAATTATTGACTAGTACTATTTCCAATAAGTTTTTCGTTATCTATTTTCATACTAGTAAATTACTGTTTTCTTCTTCCTGCTTGATTAGATTTATTCATATCTTTTGACAGTTATGTACTTGTTAATTCATACGACTAAGTGTCGCAAAAAAATAGCCCAGAATATATTTATATATTGAAAATGA